ATATATATATATATATATATATATATATAGATGGATGGATGGATGGATGGATGGACTGAATGGCAGACAGACAGATGGATAGATGGATAGATGGATAGATAGACAGATAGATAGATATATGGATGGATGGACTGAATGGCAGACAGACATACAGATAGACGGATAGATAGATAGATAGATAGATAGATAGATAGATAGATAGATAGATAGATAGATAGATAGATAGACTCACCGTTGGAGAAGTGAGCCCCCTGTGGGAAGCTCAGCTCATTGCTGTGTTCAGCTTCACATGAATATATGGCTTTGGCATCTCTGTGGATGATAATCAGAAATGATAACATTTATGTATGTGCTCATACACTGTTTTAAATGAGAATTTGTTGGTTTTATTTTTGTTATGACAATTGCCATCAAATATATCTGAAACAGTAATGTCTTTATGGGCCATGTCCACTGTTACCTTCCCAAGGGAGGAGGTTTTACAGCTGATGGGTTCTCAAAAAGCAGCGCTCTGGCAGCCACCCTGGAACACAGAACCATGCCAAATGTCAGGGTGAGTGTCAACTTTATGATTTGACGTCACCAGGATTAGGCTGAATAAACAAACCATTTTCAGCTAAAGCAGGTAGCCACAATTTGACCTCACATATACAGTAAAAAACTTTGGTGTGAGCCAAAAGTCTGCATTCATTACTGGTAAATTTAGACAGTAAGTATATTGTTACGTCCCAGGACGTATGAATTTGTGTTTTATTATCATGGTGTGTGTCTTTCATGATATGCTGCCAGTGGACCCAACGGCCTTCTGGGAGTTGTAGTTTTTGTTGTATATTTTGTCCTATTTTCTGCGCTCCTCCCTGTCCTAATCTAGGTGATTGGACATACCAGCTGCTCCTCGTCAATGTCAAGAGGAACCAGTATTTAAGAAGATCAAGAGAGTGAGCCAGTAGACGCGTTTCCATTAACCAATGTTATGCGGCTAAAACTTAACCTTTTGCCTCTCGCGACAAGTCATGGCAACGGATTTTGGTGGGATTTTGATGGATTGTGGCTATATTTATTCAAAGGAGAGCCGCTTCAGAAACGTGCGTGGCGCAGCTGGAATAAACCATAGACTGTATAAAAACATAAACTCAAGCATTGAGTGGCCGTAATCAGCTTCAGTGACCGTATCAGAGCCACACTGCACCGCAGACGTGTGGAGTGTAAATTGTCTAAGTATTAATAGTAGGGAAAGCCCCTTATACTGGAGCGCGGCCACTTATGAAGTGTTTCGTGGAGGCTATAGTACATTGAAGAATGATCATATTATTTTTACATACGCCATGTGACTTGTAAATGCGAAAAAGCCGTTTCCATTGCAGTTTTGCGAATTAATCCTTTTTCGCATTGCCTGAAAAACCACCTCATGCGAGCGCAAAAACGTTTTTGCGATATATGGCCGTTTTTGCGAAATTGACGCGTTTCCATTAGGCGTATTTTCAATTCGCAATTTCAATTTGCGCAATTTGAAGGGTAATGGAAACGCGCCTATCCTTCTCACAAGAGCATGAGTGTGTTGAGACGTTGCCAGTCCCAGAGTGTTGCTCTTGTTGGTGTGTTTTAAGCTTAATATGGGTGTTATGGCTGTAGTGTCTAGTTTTATGTTATTAAACCTACATTTAAAACCAAACTTAAAGGGTTAGTTCACCCAAAAATGAAAATTAGCCTGTGTTTTACTCACCCTCGAGGCATCCTAGGTGTATATGACTTTCTTCTTTCAGACGAATCCAGTCAGAGTTATATTAAAAATTGTCCTGGCTATTCCAAGCTCTATCATTGCAGTCAGCGGGTGTTGCAGTTGAACAGTCCACAAGTCGTCAAATAACGTGCGTGCAGCCATAATAAAACGTGTCTCATATGGCTCCGTGGATGAATAAAGGCCTCCTGTAGTGAATACATGTGTTTTTGTAAGAAAAATCTCCATTTTTTCAAACGTAATAAACACTTTTCTCTCACTTCCGCTGACTGTCATACACGGAAGCAGTTACGGCAGATGACGTATGACGTCGGCGTTGCGTGATTGGTAACGAATGCAGAGAGAGAACAAAAAAAAACAAAGAAAAATGTTGGAGGATTTCGATATAAACCAAGAAGAGACTGGTTTTCCTTTGCTAAAGTAAGGAAACTTTGCTTTCTTTGCTCCTATAAACAAACTCGCGAGACTATCATATCTCAGAGGCGCAGGCGCTGCGCATACGTGCTGCGTCATCCGCCGGAACTGCTTTAGTGTATGACAGATACCGGAAGTGAGAGAAAAGTGTTTATTACATTTGAAATATGGATATCTTTCTTACAAAAACGCATGGATTCGCTACAGGAGGCCTTTATTCACCCCAGAGCTGTGAGGGGCACGTTTTATTATGGATGTGCACGCTTTATTTGACGACTTGTGGACTGTTCAACTGCAACACCCACTGACTGCAATGATAGAGCTTGGAATAGCCAGGACAATTTTTAATATAACTCCGACTGGATTCATCTGAAAGAAGAAAGTCATATACACCTAGGATGCTTCGAGGGCGAGTAAAACAGTCTAATTTCCATTTTTGGGTGAACTAACCCTTTATTATACTTTTTCCCCTAAATATTCTGTTGACTAAAAATTGTTTATAAACTACTGTTCAAAAGTTTGGTGTCAGTAAGATTTGATTGATTTCTGAAGTGTCATGTGACACTGAAGTCTGTAGTAATGTCTGCTGAAAATTCAGCTTTGCTATCACAGGAATAAATGACAAAAAAAATATTTTAAAAAATCTAAAAGATGTATATAAAAATTAGTTCTGTCAAACGATCACGATTAATCATTTGATGGCACTAATAAAAATATATTTAAATACAGTATATATAAAATGTATATAAAAATTTATTGAAATGTATATAAAAATATCGTACAATACTCATCATACATATTGTACATAATCTCTTAATTTTCGTGCCTGCCAGTTTACTGAAATCACAGGGTCTGTTGTGACCCGACAGTCCCATTTCTTTTGTGGAAATCAGTCGCTGCTGCTTGCAATAGGAGTTTGAGTATGTGTGTGTTTGTGTGGGAAGCCATTGATGTCTCACTGTGTCTTCCGCGGAGAGCGTCTCCTCAGCCCCAGTTGAGATTAAACATTTAATAGCGTATTACAGCATTTAGCCGTGGTTGTGGCCTCCATAAGCTTACGCCGGTTTCCCATAGTCACTGCTCCGTTTCTGCAGTCTGTGAAATCAGGAAGGAATAGGAGAATTGCATTGTAAACAAAATCCCACAGGGCGGCATGTGATCTCTCTTTCAGGCTGAGCTAGTTAAACGGTGGTGCTAGTTGGATAGAGAAATGGGTTGCCCTGTTTGTGCTGTGAAAATCCTAACAAATATCATATCCCCTTTGCTGACAGCGGCTTGATGGTGCCAAACAATGTTCGTGGCTCAAAGTTCAGCATTTGCATTCAAATTATTTTATCCCCTATTCCTTACTGGGCTTCCTGAGCACAATATGATAAGTAAAGCCAAGTTTACTTTGCTTAATTTCTGCTATTCCCAAAAGTGCAGCAGATAAGGGAGGAAGGGAGAGAGAGAAAGAGAGAGAGAGAGGCCACAAACAAATCACACAAAGGAAATTTGTTTACTTACTGTTAAAAGTCCACCACGGTTTTTCACTGATCATTGATTTGGGCCATCTTGTAAGGAAAAAATAGGTAAGCGAGACTTCAGTTCTCCTGATATCATTCACCCTATTTAACCTAAAAGGCAGCAATTGGGGATTTGAGAATTACATCATTAAAATGAAGACTTAATAAACTGAAGAAATTGAACAATCATGCACTTTTTTGTCAGTACTGGGACGTCTGGGAGATTAAATGAGCT